TATAGCATGTGTCCCTTCGCGTGAGTTACAAGTAGTACGGTAGCGCGAACAGTCTCGCGACTGTTTGCGTGACACATGATTATACCTCTTCGTAGAGTCAACTCATTATCTAGCTCGTTTCATGAACAGATACATCTCGGAGTAGGTACTTTCCTAGACTATGAATCTCTTGTCAAAACATATTTCTATGTTGTTAGTTATGCTAGGCTATAGTGAGGTGCTCAGTATAGAGTACAACCCCAGTTAGGGTTTACTACTTGTATCTCACTCTTGCGGAGTTAGTTCATTCATTCCTGCACAGTTCTCTTAGACATGGTTTTAGAGCATGTCCCTCCGTAGGACCGCTCCGTTAGGGCCCACCAACCGTACGTACTGCCCCAGGAGCTGCTGCCGTCGTGTGCTGCCCTGCTCGCCGCGCGCTGCCCTGCTCGCCGCGCGCTGCCCTGCTCGCCGTGCGCTGCCCTGCTTGCTGCGCGCTGCCCTGCCCTGCGCTCTGCCCGTGCGTCGCCCTGCCCTGCAGCCCGCGCGTCACCCTGCCCTACTGCCCGCGCATCGCCCTGCCCTGCAGCCCGTGCGTCGCCCTGCCCTGCAGCCCGTGCGTCGCCCTGCCCTGCAGCCCGCTCGTCGCCCTGCCCCATGTCTTCCTCCAACCCAGCAAAATCTGAGAGATTTTTATCGTCTCTGGCATATATTGATTTGAATGCCGACCCCAGCGCCTGGAAGGCCGCGCGCCGTCTTCCTGCTGTCCGAGAAACGTTTCCGTTACAGCCGCGTCCCGGCCGCTTGCAACTCCAATCGCAGGATAGGTATCCGCTTCAAGTTTAACGTGCTTTCTTGACAGGGCAGAAACCACCTCTCGACTCTGAGTCTCGACGAATCCAGATTCTAGTGAACCGGGAACGTCTGAGGCTTCATAACCGCCCGAAAACGGGGATGTCGAAGATCAGGTTACAGTACCGGCACGTGACGTCCTCTTCGATGAAAGACTCACATACCCCACTTGGCAGAGGCAACATGCCAACCGCGAAGACTTGACAGCTGATTTTTCAGGTACACGCACCTTCGCTACAGAAGCCGACGAAGCTGACGCGGCGGAGGAAGCTGTCTCTGGTGCGTCGGCAGCTGCCGGTGCCGCCCCCTACTGTTCTGTTCCGATCGAGATTGATGAGGCAGATCCTGACAACGATGTCAACACCAAGGCTTACTACAAGTTTGTCGATAACGGAGCAACTACACCGCTTCCCGTTGCTTCTAACCAAAGCGAACGGTTGGGTCCTGGTTTTAATTTCGATCCTTAAGCTGGTGACGAAGCTGCTACTAACGAGACTGGGGAACAAACTCGTTATCAACCGACCGGGTTACAGATACTAGGGCTCACCGTAGCAGTCCAACCACCTCTTCCTACCGAACCAAACACCTTGGCTCAAGCCCTGAACGGACCTCACAGGGAAAAACTAGCAAGAAGCCATGGATAAGGAGCTGAAGGCGCTACACGCAAACAACACCTAGGATTTAATCCCTATTTCGACGATTCCTGGTAAGAACATACTCTCTGGGAAATGGGTCTTTTGCATTAAGACCAATGCTGACGGAACGATCGAGCACTTCAAAGCTTGTTGGGTTGTTCGCGGGTTTGATCAGAAGTAAGGCGTGGATTACGATGCGACTTTCGCTCATGTTAGTCGTCACACTCTACTCGCCTTCGCAGTAGCATTGGGTCTTAAGTTGCGCCAAATCGATGTTTCCACGGCGTTTCTCTACACTCTTGTCGACGAGCTCATACTCATCGAGCAACCGCGTGGTTACGTTACCGATCCCTCCATATAAAGGGTTTAGGGTTTAAACCGCGTGGTCTGCCGTCTCAACAAGTCTCTCTATCGTATTAAGCAGGCGCCGCGTCTGTGGCAGCAGCATCTCCACGAGCGCCTCATTCATATCGGTTTTCGCCAACTACCTCATGACCACGAAATGTACCGACTGGGCCGCGAAGCTGCATTTGTGTTACTCGTCGTCTACATCAACGATTTACTTTACATCGGCACCACGCCCGACATTATCTCTTACTTTGAAGGGGAGCTGACTAATGACCTGTCGATTACGATATCGACGGACGTCACTCAGTATCTCGGCTTAAATATCACCGAGACACCTACTGTTATTCACCTCTCCGCCGAGAAGTACGCTGAGAAGTTTCTGAAGCGAATTCCTCTACCAATCACTACCTCAACGACTCCTTTTCGATCTACTCACGCCACTGAATCGGAACCTCTTTCACATGCTAGTGTCACTCGCTATCATCAACTCCTTGGTAGTCTTCTTTTCACAGCTGTCACGCGTCGTCCGGATTTGGCCTATTCGGCTAGCCAGCTGGCTCAATACCTTAAGCGAACCGAAGGGGAGAACCTACAGGAGCTGGAAGCATCTGTTTCGTACTTCGTATCTACATCTACTATCGGGCTTACGTATCACAAGTAGTTGAAGTCGCCGCTATCTCTATACGGCTACGTAGACGCAGATCACGCGGATGATACTACAAACAGACGCTCAAGCACGGGGTTTATTTTCCCCCTTGAGCCCGTTCGAACAATTTCCTGGCAGTTGTGCAAACAGGAGCTGATTGCACTCTCATCAGCTGAGGCAGAATTCATTGCTACCTGCACCACCACGAAGGAAGGTCTTTACCTTCGCGAGTTGCTTAGCGAAGCAAAGTTACTGGACCTGTCACTTTTTGAGCTCGTCTGCGACAACCAGTCCGCAATCCACATTGTGAACAAATTTGGGTTCGCAAATTGAACCAAACATATATTGCTTCGCTACTTTTTTCGTCAAGGACGAAATCGAGCAAGACAAGCTACAACTTAGTTACTTCCCCACGAGCGAAATGGCCGCGGACTTCTTGACCAAACGTCTGCCGCGTCCGAAATTTTAGTACTGCATGATGCTGACTGGACTCGACCACATCAACAGTGACAACATCGAACCCCATAATTGAAGGGGACTGTTGGACGAAGAAATTCGACTTATGCAATTCAGTAGTTCGACAGTATAAAAACTATAGTAGTATCGTAGTATTACTATATGTGCGCATGTTACTATAGCATGTGTCCCTTCGCGTGAGTTACAAGTAGTACGGTAGCGCGAACAGTCTCGCGACTGTTTGCGTGACACATGATTATACCTCTTCGTAGAGTCAACTCATTATCTAGCTCGTTTCATGAACAGATACATCTCGGAGTAGGTACTTTCCTAGACTATGAATCTCTTGTCAAAACATATTTCTATGTTGTTAGTTATGCTAGGCTATAGTGAGGTGCTCAGTATAGAGTATAACCCCAGTTAGGGTTTACTACTTGTATCTCACTCTTGCGGAGTTAGTTCATTCATTCCTGCACAGTTCTCTTAGACATGGTTTTAGAGCATGTCCCTCCGTAGGACCGCTCCGTTAGGGCCCACCAACCGTACGTACTGCCCCAGGAGCTGCTGCCGTCGTGTGCTGCCCTGCTCGCCGCGCGCTGCCCTGCTCGCCGCGCGCTGCCCTGCTCGCCGTGCGCTGCCCTGCTTGCTGCGCGCTGCCCTGCCCTGCGCTCTGCCCGTGCGTCGCCCTGCCCTGCAGCCCGCGCGTCACCCTGCCCTACTGCCCGCGCATCGCCCTGCCCTGCAGCCCGTGCGTCGCCCTGCCCTGCAGCCCGTGCGTCGCCCTGCCCTGCAGCCCGCTCGTCGCCCTGCCCCATGTCTTCCTCCAACCCAGCAAAATCTGAGAGATTTTTATCGTCTCTGGCATATATTGATTTGAATGCCGACCCCAGCGCCTGGAAGGCCGCGCGCCGTCTTCCTGCTGTCCGAGAAACGTTTCCGTTACAGCCGCGTCCCGGCCGCTTGCAACTCCAATCGCAGGATAGGTATCCGCTTCAAGTTTAACGTGCTTTCTTGACAGGGCAGAAACCACCTCTCGACTCTGAGTCTCGACGAATCCAGATTCTAGTGAACCGGGAACGTCTGAGGCTTCATAACCGCCCGAAAACTCGTCAGTCTCAATACATTTCCCAGCCATGTCGAAAGAACACATACATACAAAGAAACACTCTGAACTTCGCCGTTCGTCGAACGAACTGATACCAGGAGATTGCAACAGTCGAAATCGGCGCACGCAGCGGCTCCCCCTAACGGTTTACGGCAATGAGACGGTAGTGAGAGGAAATACCTGCGCGCGTCCCTGGTCGCAAATAGGCTATCGTCGACACGGAAATCACCCGAAACCCTGCCAAGAACTAGGGCCTCGGAAGGCTCAACGGGAATCACTCCGCGTAAACTATTCAAATCCGCATAAACCGAGTGTTTGATGATAGATGTGGCTGACTCCTTAGCGGCGTGTCTGAAGTGGAGATGTCGATCATGTCGAGGGAGCTGGATTGTCAGATCTTGAACCTTCGACAAATCCGACGGTCCACCTCACGTCATCCGTCCGTCGACGTTCCAGTTCGGACACGCTTAGAGAAAGTCAGAGTCCCTTGGGAGCTGTAGAGGAGAGAGGAGCCTGGGAGAGAACAACGGCCACAACCTGGAAGCGAGCACTGTTAGGAGATACAAGATGGCAGCAGTCGTTAGGGTGGGATTCGCCGTGCAGCAAGGCCACTCTTGCCTTGCTTACTTCGAACTGCCACCTGCTAGCCTCGAGTTCTCTCTCCCACCCTCGTCATGCCTCGTCCAACATGCAGCGGCATCGAGGTGCTTTTCCAAGAGGCAACGTTTCTCTCCATTCTTCTTGTTTATGTTCAACATTCCAAGGAACTCACCTCTTATACGGTAATACTGTCGACCAAGTCGGCGGGTTGGATATAGGCCAAACTTCAAAAATATCGTTCAACACACCTCCTATTCTAGGTGTATCTCCACGTCGAACGATTTGCAACTGTGCACACACCCCACCACAGCTTGCCAGTGTCTGTTGTGGCTTAGAGATTCCCTGGGGCAGTCAGCACACGTGAAATTATTTTGCAAGGTTAAAGCTCTTGGTGCCCCTCTGTGTGCAAGAAGGCCTGCAGGATGTTTTTCCGTGTGGTGAACTGGTCTGCCTTGTCCCGAGACAGGGACTGCAGTGACGGCAAGGGGCAGGGAAGACGTGGGAGAAACATGGGACAAGGGGGAAAGAGGGGGGAGAGGAAGAGAGAGGAAGAGACAGGGGGCAAGGTTGGAAGAGGCACAGGGGATAAAGACATGGTCTGAGAGGTACAGTTTCAGTGTTAGTTGAGAGTGACACAGGGGCGTCTGGGGGCGATGGGTTAAATTCCGAGAGCAGTGAGGCAAGGAATCAGCTTTACAAGGCGTAATCATACAAGTCTGCGAGGGACTAACTGACATCGGCGTAACCAGGACTCAGTGGGGTGGGGAGAAGGCGTGTGTAAGAGGGCGGGGACTGCCTGAGCGGAACGAGGAAGCAAGCCCATGTGTAAGAAAAACGTTGCTCTTCCACTGAAGGAACACACGCCAACATTAAGCATGTCATGTGCTTGCAGGGCGGTGCATCCATTTCCGCTTACCCCTTGCAGCAGGCGTGAGAGCCGGCCCATCTCCTTGCCCACGTACCCATCGCCCTGCTCCATGATGCTGCCCATGATCTTGCAGTACACCATTGCACGCCTGCCGGGTCGGTGGGTGAACGGGTGAAAGGGTGAGTGGGTGAGTGGGTGAGTCGATAAACAGGTGAATGGGTGGGTGGGTGAGTGGGTCAGTTCGGGTGAATGATGAACGGGTGGGATGGGTGAGCGGGTGAAGGTGAGTTGGTAAATGAGTGATAGGGTGAATGGAAAATGGGAGGTGGGATACATGGCAGAGGCCGGTGGACAACCGGGTACGAGTGACACTTGCACATATGCTCCTTCACACGCGAATGTGCACATGCAGATGTTTGGGAAAATGTGTACAGTGCAGGAGATTTGCCTGCAGAATGCAGCATAAGAGAGAGGAGGCGGGGAAGGCAGGAGGGTGTTTTGAAAAGCACGAAGATATGGGCACAGAGAGCAGAGTGCATTGGGAGGTGCAGTGCAGTGTGGCCCTTTGAGAGGTTTAGGGCGCACAAGCATGCAAGGCTGTGGAACAGTATGTATCTGATCTGATCCTACTCCCTCATGTGCACGCCACCAAACTTCCCCACAGGCAGTGGTATCAGATTCAGCACCCTCCCCGCACAGTGCACACACCTCCTTGCCCCCTTCCCTGCACACTGCCTACGCCCACACTCACTTCCTTTCCTCCTCGTCCATCTGTGCTGCCTCTGCCTCGGCCCGTGCTCTGACCGCCCCTCGTGCCTCCCCCACTGCTGCCATGAACTCCTGTGCTAGGTCATCCAACGCTGGTAGCCGCCCCGACTGAGGGCGAAGAGGAGTTACAGGTGGGGGGGGGCGCATGGATAAACGAGGTGTGTGTGATGTGATGTGAATAGGAACGGAAATGAGGGGGCCCTAGGGATCTGGATTGCTGGTGGGAGCAACGATTGATATGCCATGGCTCGGAACGATTTAGCATGGTATGTCAAAACATGGCATGAGATGGCAAGGCACGGCATGGTATGGCACGGCAAGGCACAGCATGGTATGGCACGGCAAGGCACAGCATGGTATGGCACGGCAAAGCACGGCACGGCATAGCAGCGTACCGCAGGAGAGAGGGTGCCATCGATGGTGCGGTGGGTGCCGGCCTGCTGGTTGATGAACGCCACAAGGTCCCGCACGGAGCGGGCCTTGCGGTACACCTCCCCCACCTTGTTGTGCCGCGGGAACCAGATCAGCTCTGGGGTCATGCTGATGCTGTACCTGCAAGTGGCAGGCAGCATGCGGGATGGATGCGTGTGGCGACTTTTGAGTCGACTCAAAGTCACCGCGGGAGCCAGATCAGCTCTGGGATGACGCTGATGCTGTACCTGTGCATGGCAGGGCAGCTTGCGGGATGGATGTGTGTGGCGGTGGGTGGAACGGAAGGCACGTATGAAATGGAAAACGCACAGAAAAGTGGCCATCCTGCAGAAGCAACATTCTTCCCCTCTCACCCCTCTCCCACTCTCTCTCTCCCCTCTCTCCCCTCTCCCTTTTCTCCTCCCTTCCCCCTCTCCCTTCTCTCCCCTCTCTCCTTAATCTCCCCCGTTCCCCTCTCTCTCCTCCCTTTCCCCCCTTTCCCTGCTGTCCCCTATCACCCCTCTCTCCCCTCATATAATAATCTCCAGTCTACCCCGAATCAACCATAACCTCCCTCCTCCCCTCACCCTGGCAGTGCTCCCTCCCTCCCTCCCCGGCCAGCCACCCCGCAGCAGGCGGCACTGACTTGAGTTTGAGCTCGGGGCATCGGTCTATATCCACCTTGCCCACCACCACACACCATGCACGATGCATGAGCATACTAGCTTCTGATGTTGCGCAAGCAGCCTACCACCCCGCAGCAGGCGGCACGCACTTGAGTTTGAGGTCGGGGCATCGGCCCACGTCCACCTTGCCCACCACCACACTGCTCTCCGCCCTGAATGCAGCCGCGACCTTCTCATACATCTGTGCCATGCCGTGGTGTGGGGTGATGGGGATGGGCATAAGGATGGTGGTTGGGATGGGTATGGGGATGTGCGAATGGCATGGTGTGGCAAAAAATAACAAACCCTGCTGAACGCTGCAGAAGACAACCGGGAGGGAATGGTACCAGAAGCACGGCACGGTGTTGCAAAGAAACTAAACCAGGACAATGTTACCAACTAACGTTGCTATAGATTGTCCCTACTCATCTGTATGCAGGGTACAGTGGGTGGGACTCTACTTATTTTTCAAGATAAAACTCGGCCAGGGAAAATGTAGGTGGTATTAGTAGTAGACCTGCATAAAAAAGGCTTTACAATTAGACCGGCAATTGGAGAACCCACGAACCAGCTACAGTGTAGAGGTAGACCACCACAAAAGGTTCCCGTATAAATACTAGGATGCACTACTAGGATGCACAAAAAGTATACGAATGGACCGAACTCCCAGTCTGTCTCAGAACGGACCATCTAGAGAGGGAGAGTGGCCCTACTTACAGGGAACAGGCCTTTGGACTGTCGGGACCTGCACGCACGCAACACGGGGTTGTGGGAGGGGTGAGGGATAACAGCAGAGGGAGCGACGACAGACCGACATGGGAGACAGCAGTGTTGACTTGACAAAGGGGTCAGGTCAGGTCAGGTCAGGTCAGGTCAGGTCAGTAGAACCTCGGCGTTCGTACCAACTATGCTCTCCTCTGCTCGCACTTCTCTCTCCCGTCCCGCCCCCCTTCTCCACTGTTTCTCCGCCTGTGTCGCAATTGGCCAACGCGTGATGCCCAGGAAAGCGGGACAGCAAGTACTTTGACCATGCTCTCAGCACAACTTCCCATCCCCCTTCACCTCCCACATCCTACCCCTCCTTCCCCCTTCCCCCTCACCCTCCAGCAGCCCCTGCTCTTCCGCATCACCTACCCCACCCCATCCCCCTCACCCATGAGTGTAGAACATGACGAGTGCATGCAGGGAGTCATCGAGAGCAGCGTGGTTGAAGCTATCAGTGCAGAGCGCCACCACGTGGGACACGGCGCCGGGCAGAGACACACGCGTGCCTGCATGGATAAATGACGGGGGGAAGCAAGCGGGGTGAATGGTGAGGGGAGCGAGGGTGGGAGGGAGGGAGGGAGGCGAGGCTGTGATGATCAGCTGATGGCCTCTTTTCGACGTGTGGGGCGTGCGTGTGGGGATGTGTTGGGGCAACGGCCGCAAGTGTAGGTCGTGTAGGCTGTGAGGCTGTGGGCTGCGGACTTGCAGGTGGAAAGTGGGAGAGACATGACATGACATGACATGACCAAGGAGCAGGACGATGTGGCAAGCCAAGACCGGAAGTGGTTCAACTCCTCAGTGTGGAGTACGAAGAGTGAAGGGTTGTGGGTGAAGGGGGGTGAGTGAGGCAAAGCGGGGAGGAAGAGAGGGGCACACGAGGGGCATGACCGAGCTTTTCATTGATAAAGGTGTTAAAGTCGTCCAAAGTGAGACGATATTTTTAGGCGCATCAAAAGAATGGACGGGGAAGAGAGGGGGCAGAGGAGGAAGGGCCCTGACCGAGCTTCTCATTTATGAAGTTGATAAAGTCGTCTACGTCTCTCCTGCCCTTGAAGCTGATGGATTGGCGTGCAGGGTGGGGAGGAAGGCACGTGATGCAGTGAGCGCGCGTGCATGAAGCGGCTGTGGCTGGTGTAGGTAGGTAGGACAGGGCAGAGGTAGGAATACAAATAGGAGAACGTGGGAGAGAGCAAAGGACAACGGGGTTGTGACATGGAAACAAAGGAATGGAAGAAGCCAAGAGACGAAGGCGAGCGAGGGCGTAAACCGGGAAGGAAGAGACCGGGAGAGCAAGGAAGATGGGGGGAGGTGCTGATGGAACGTGAATGGGGAAAGAGAAGCTGGAGGAGACACTAAGGGGAGAACAGACACACAGGTTGAAACTAAGATGGGTCCGTACGTTTTTGGAACCACGTAATCGTAATGTTACGCGTAAACGTAAACGTACGCGTACGAAAGCGTAAATTCGCGTAACATATGTCCGGGCAGGTAAATTTTTTGTCAAGCGGGGCCGTCGGCTAAGGGCGCGGGACAAGAGGCAGGATCTGAGATAAACAATGTTGCAATTATGTGACTGGGAGGAGGGGGGAAAGTGTGCTCGGGTTGGTTAACCAGCAGATGAAACCCGTCACCACAAACTATTTGGGTGGTGGTCGAAACATCATCGCACCACCCTTTGGTTCTGCATCTACAGCCAAAAAGAGGGCATAAGATTGTTTGTTGGGCAGCCCAAAAAGAACTAACCTGCCCGCAAACGTAAACGTAATTTTGATCCGCACACGTAACGTAAAACGTACGTAAACGTACGCGTAAGATCCAACTTAGGGTTGAAATAGAGGCAGAAGGGGGTGCTTGCTCCAACGCCCCTAAGGCCTCGAGAACTCAAAGGCTTGAAGGCTCACACACTGTGACGACCCAAGGGTTGAGGCTCGGCAATGACGCGTGGAGGGACGGTGTGCGTACTTCTCAGGAGTGGTTTGGTGGGCGGGGAACCATCTGAAGGTGGGGAAGCTGCGGATGCTGTGCTTGTCGCAGAGCGCCTTGTGCTCCTCGCAGTTCACCTGGGGGCGTGTGGTGCGGCAAGGGCACGGCATGGTGATGGATGCAGGGCATGGCGAGGTGAGAGAGGGCAGGGAAGGAGTTCTGCGAGCAGATGCACTGTCGTGGATGCATGGAAGTGGATGCATGGAAGTGGATGCATGGAAGTGGATGCATGGTAATGGGAAAACGCAGTGAGGATGAGCATGCATGGCTGATGACGGCGACTCATGTGAGCATCATATGCATATCCATCCATGGTGGGACTGTAGCACTCTGTCATGGAACGGATTGTGCTGCATGGATGCTGAACAGTGAACACATCATCCTACGAGCCATAGACTACACGCATCATTCCCCAACCACGCCCATTCCCACCAACCACACCCAATCCCCCCCCAACCACGCTCAATCGCCCTCAACCACAACCACTCCCCCCCCAACCACGCACAATCCCATCCCCCCGCACCTTGCCGACGGTCAAGGCAGCAACGTCCTTGACAGCTGCTGCAAGCCTCTCATACTCGGGCGCCACCTTCTTGCAATGCCCGCACCTGGTGGCGGGGGGGGGGAGGGGAGGAATGGGAAGGGGGAGGAAAGGGAGGGGGAAGAAGGGAAAGGGAGAGGAAGGGTAGGGGGAAGGAAGGGAAAGGACTTTTGAGACGCTTCCCATATTCCGGCGCCACCTTCTTGCAGTGCCCGCAGCTTGTGGCCGGGGGGGCTGGAGATAGGGCGGGGAAGGACGGGCAGGGAACGGGGCCAGCTAGTTGATAGTGGCGGTTGGCAGGAATTGGATTGGCCTCTTATCGTTCCCATACACCCACCCGCTGCTGCAGTGCTGGGGGGAAGTGGGCGAGGGGCAGGAACGGGGCGAGTGGTACAGGGGAGAAAGAGAGGTGTGAAGGTGGGAGAATGGTGCGTGGGGGTACGGGGATGAGACGGGGCGAAGGAGACACTCTGGGAGGGAGGGGATGGGCGAGTGAGTGGTGAAACGGCGGCGAGTGGAAAACGAGGCTCAAGGCCTGTTGAGGCGCCTCAACGGCAGGCAGCATGTAGCAATCCACACTCAATGCAAGCGGCGCTGCTCCCACGCCATCCTTTGACTTTGTGCCGCGGCCCCTCGCTCAGGTCCCGCCGGGGCTCGCATGCGGCTCAGAATGCGCCAGGTCTCATCGCATTTGGCGCCTTCCGTTCCACTTATCGTCTCTGCTATCACGCAAACCCACCTCCCCACCTCTCCGCCTCCCTACCGCCTCGCGTCACTCCTCGCCTTACTCTGCGTGCACGAGGGCAGAGCAGACGGCAGGCGGCAGGACCTTGCCAGGCCCCACTACTACCAGTCACAGTCACCACGTGTCGATCCGCAATACCGACTGCGCACATGCAACACCACGCCGCATACGGCGCCTTTTTCTGCTTGCCACATTGCTTGCAATCGCCACCGAATACGGCCTGTTCCGCTGCATGATTCTGTTTGTTAGGCAGTAACGGTAACAGAAACAGCTTCAAACGCGTACCATGGCGCGTAGAACTCGACGAACACGGCCTTCTCGCCTCCTACGTAGTCGGCGAAATTATGAGGCGTCAAGTCGACGACATGAGAAGCGGCAGCGAGGAGCGAGGGAAGCGCGAGGAGAGGTAGTAGGAGGCGAAGACGGTTTGTCGCAGCCATGGAGGTACAGACGGGGTGTGGCGGGCGGTGCGGGGAGTAAAATGAGGACGTGGGTAAGATTGGAGAGGTCACGGTATCTCAGCTTTACTATACTCTCCGGTATTCGTCGGGAATGGTGGTTCGTCGGCGTTTTTTAGGCTTAATTATATATTCAATTACCAAGTGCCCTTGATTGGGAGGGCTGGTATTTGCATCCTTCGCCTCTTGTTTAGCATGTTCAGAATATTGATGGAAATGACAGTATAATGCTGTTCATAATCCACATTGCAACTAGCTATACAAAGACACGTTTATTATCAAAGAAATGCTTTATACATTTTTCTCCCATTTTATTCAAAAATCCTCTTTTTTAAACACGTTTCGGGACCCACTAGAGTAGGTTGACTAAGCAGTAGGAGGCAATGGGATGGAGGGAAGTGCACTGGTGGAGTGTGTGTGTTTCAAGCAGTAGGTTCCTGGGGAGTGAGGCTGGAAAGCCACTTATTAGCACTTGGCTATTCGGCAGGCGATAAGGCTGACAATGCCTCCCAGCAGCAGCACGAGGATTATGATGACTATGATTTTTATTTTCATGTTCTCCCACCACATCTTCGCCTTCACCTTCGTCGCCGCCTTTTTAAACTGCCCAGCCTGTCCACACAAAACAGAGAAAGTCGGAGAGTAGCGTGTTAAATAAGCCCACCAACCATGGCAGCACAACACCGGGTGCTTCTACCAAACGAATAATGAGCCATACTCTCCCACATGATACGTGTTCTTCCTCTTTCCTAAGACTTCTTTATCTCTACACCCATGAGCCGTCCATGCCCATGCAGCAGCACGCACATTTTCTTGTAGCACGTTTGCCTGCTCGTTCAGGACCTCCAGCTTCTCCCCGCGATTGATCACCTGCCGGGTCAACGCGCGCGGAGAGACACAGAGATCAGGCCAGTAAGCACGGGGGTTCAGGAAGCAGAGGAGGGAGGGAAGAGAGAGGACGTAGGCATGAATGCATCGGGGTGGCTGCGTTGAAGGGGAAGGCGTGTCCATTACCGGGGATTGCGTGTACTGACGCGCTCACCTTTTTCATGTTCTCCAGCATCACGCCTTTCACCTCCTCCACCTGCCCCAGCAGCTTCGCCGCCTTGCTCAGGTCCTCTGGCCGCGCCGTCCCCTGCTGCAGCTGCTGCTTCAGCTTCGGCCTGCCATGCCACGCGTACACGGAGGGACGGGGGGAGCCACACAGGATTAAGGAAGCGGCGATGGAGCAGAGGAAAGAAAAAAGGGGCTTTAGTGTCGGACAATCAAGCCCAGCGGTGAGCCGCTAACCCATCGGCCACCACTAACTCCGCGGAGCATCCAATATTTTCGCTGCGTTGCACTTCCGCCGCCCTCCACCCCGCGGTTCGCGCGACTCACCCGAACTCTCGCTGCAACGCGCCCGCGGGCATGGCGCGCGCCTTGCTGCCGTACTTGGCCATGAAGCCCGACCTGACCTTATCCAAGAACCCGCGCAGCACGTCGCGCGGCATTTGCTTGTCCGCCAACACGCCGAACACTGCGGGGGCGCACACGGGGGCGAGAGGAGAGGAGAAGATAGCGTGAGTGATGGCCGTACGGAGTGTGCAGACGGGACGAGAAACCAGATAGTTTTCGTGCATCGCGGCCACTCGATTGAGACCCAAGCGCTGCGGGGCCGAGGACGGAAACCTTGGGTAACGGGGAAGGAGAAGAAGCAACATTGCGGGTTGGCAAAAGCACTTCTCCGACAAATGGAAGCCCTTCCACCTCTTCAACATACGATTTCTACATAGAGCATGCTTTTCGACGCGTTATTCCCGACAAAACCTGTGGTATCCCGCTCAGATGCATTCCTGTAACGCCCGCCCCTGCAGGAGGCTGCCTCATCGCGCCGCGCGCTGCTTCCCACTGCACCCCGCTTCCTGGCCCGCGGCGCGTACCGTATTCCTTCTCCGTCTGGAACGCGATGGTGAAGTCGCCGTACGGCATCGCGATGTGTTTGGCGCCGTCCTTGGGCAGCACGGCGAGGCACTCCTGCACCGTGGCGCTCAGGTCGCCCTTCACCATCGAATGTTCCGCCAGCACGTCCACACCGCGCGATACCATCGCGTACCGCAGCTCGCCGCGCTTCTTCGCTTCGCCGTCCGTCGCCATGGTGAAGCCGCCCCGTGTCGCCCGAGTTCGAGGAGTCTCGCGGACGATTTATGGCTGTGCGGTTCCGCCGAATTCCACGGATGCCGCTTTCTCGGTAGATTCCGAGGCGCACGATTCGGTTGTAATGCAGTTTTCGTGAATCGTTGCTGTGAGGCGGTGTTGTACCTCTTGTTTCTCCACAGGGATGCTATCTACAAGCGTATTGAGCGAGTGGAGGGTAATGTGTGAGACAAAGGATTGCTGAATGGTCGTTTGGATTGCGTTGCTCACTGGTTAGAGAACTGAAGCACGGTGGGCTACTCGTCGGTGCCGGGGAGATCAATTCCACTAGAATCAACAACTGCAAAGGTTCTGATGCAATCATGCAATGCAGATTCCGTGAGTGTATGCTGGGACAAGAAGGCTCAGCAGCAGGGTCGGCTGCACGAAGAGAAGCAATCGCACGGCGCTCCTGCGCTGCCCAACTGGATCGAAGGACTCAGCGGGTTCGTCGTCGCAAGGGAATTTCGTGGATGTGGAAACAGGCACACACTAGCAAAGAACAGAGGAGGATATTGGTGGTGTGAGGGGAAGCGAGGCGCGCAGCATTATTCGAGCTGACCAAGCAGGGATTGACGAGGCAGAGCTTGCGGTCAACGCGGTGAACGCGTCACACATTGAAGTGGATGAAGTATTTTTTTTTACAAGGATGGTTGTTGGATGTTGCTTATTGTTACGAGTGCAATTGAGCGAGCGAGCGAGAATTGCACTATCGAAGCAAAACAGTACATTGAGCAAAGGCATGAGCGAAGAATATATAGCAAAGCCAAAGTGGTAATGTGTGAAAATGGGGTGCGCTACGGGCCTAGCGCCGAGGCTGGGAATTGTCGAGGCGAGGTCCGGAGCACAAGTTACCAACCGAACCGTGAGGTTGGTTCGCGTCGTGAAAAGTGTTGAAAATGTTGGAAACAATCGGTCTTAAGCGCCTCTGTCGTGTCGAAACACCAAGACACAAGCGAAGCAAAGTATATCGAGGCACCTGCGAGTCAACCCTCGGAGGTTGAAGCAACCGCTGGAGGTTACGGGGAAGTCAAAGGTCAGCGACCTTTGACCTGACGAATACAGCGCGACAGCAAGGACACACAACTGACTCGCTACAGAGCAGTTGTTCGAGTCGTCACTGTATCGAACCGCAACAGCAACAGTAAAGTAGTTACAACCGTACCTCTTCGTATTCCTTGTACTCTTATATATATACTCTTGTATCTCCTTGTTTTAATCAACTTACTTTGCCCTCACATACTAGCGCAAGGTGGTTCACACATCCTTATTAACGCTTCCGCTATTACATCAACTCTACCCAGAGTTCACCCCTGCAAAGATCCTAAGGGCTTTTCTCAGCCCAACATGGTATGAGAGCTATCAGGGGGAATTCAACTTCTATACCGGCAACATCAACAGGCATGGCTACACAAAAAGAAAGGAGCAACTCCAACGGCTCCCAGGGCACTACACCTACTCCACCTCCTGCCTCTGGCCTACAGACAGAGGAGGGCACGGCAACGAGACCAAGGGCGACGTCTACCGAGACTCCCACGAACCAACCTGCAGACTTCGACCAGAGCATGATGGAGAAGTTCTTCTCCTTCATGTCCTTCTACGAGCAACACCAGCAATCGGCACCTGCGCAGTCACACAACAGCAACAACAACGGAGCAACGCCTATGAGTCTCGACGGCTCATCATATGCACAAGGAAATCAACAACAGCAGCCTACCTTTGCTCCGTACGAGCGCGGGTCCATCAGCTTCATGCCACACCCGCAGCCTTCACCTGGACAAGAAAGGTCACTGGACGCATTACAAGTTCAGTCGCAGTTCGCACACGTTCTGAAGATGCAGACGTCAAGACCCTTCGATGGAAAGGACTTCTTCACCTGGTCGTTCGAGTTCGAGCTGATGATGGAAGGCGCGCAGATACTTGGCTTCTTCGACGGGTCCCTGCCATACCCAACAAACGGCACACAGTATGAGAAGCAGCAGTACACCTATCAATCAATGATGGCGTACACGATTCTACTGAGGAACATCACTCCGACTCAACAGCACAACATACGATCTTACCGGGGTTACGGCAACTCCGCGGAGCTCGCGTACAACCACCTGAAGAGCCTGTATCAAGCAACAGACAGCGTAAGTCAAAGTCGGTTAATGGCGCAACTGACAACAGTTGAAATGAAACCGGGAGAAAAGGGGATGGCATATATCAGCCGCTGTCGCGAACTGCGCGACAAGCTCCTTCGATGCGGAGGGTCGATATCTGAAGACGCCTTCGTGACAGTTATCATCGGTGGCCTCGGTCCTCAATGGCGCGCCACGAAAGCTATCCTCCGAGCACATGGAAGAATCTCCGAAGCAGCACTCTGCGCTGAAATCCACGCCGAGCAACAAGACATGGACCTGCAAGAAGAACGACACAAAAAGAAGACATCAGCACCGGAATTCGCGTTCCACACTCAGCGACGCTACAACAACAACAACAACCGGCTGTGAAAATAGTAGGTAGAGTTAGGAGCCATAGCTAGGTAAGTCCTAGCTAGGCAAGAGAAGTTTAGGCAAAAGAGGAGAGGTTCACTAGCAGCAATGAGGATACATATAGCAAACCCTAGATGGGTTGTACTCGCTATAGAGCACCCCACTACAGGCTAGAGAGTAACATTCTGACACACCCCCATAGCCAAAGTGGGGTGTAATCAGTACAATGAGCAAGCAGGTATAGAGCAGGAGTTCACAAAGGTAAGCAAAGCTAGAGCTAATCACAGCGGGCAAGTGAGGAGGAGGAGGAGCTGTGGAGGTAGAGAAGATGGGAGGCAACGACTGAAGCTGCAGAGGCACGGGCACAGGAGCGGCTGACTCAGAGGCTACCGAAGCAAGGGCGACGGACTACTGGAGTAACTGGCTCGGCGGCTATAGAAGAGCGGCAGGAGCAACGGACCCACTGGCGACTGGTGCAGCAGGCTCACTGGCTACCGAAGCAAGGGCGACGGACTACAGGCGCTGCAGGCGACACGACAGGTACCTCCACACAACCTCCTCCAACTGCCCCACACCCTCGACACACACCCACTGCTCAAACCCTAGCTCCACTCCCACGCACCCCCCTAAAACCCTAAACCCTAGGCTCCCACACACCCACCCCCCTCAGCGGCAGCTGCAGCAGTGGGAGACCAGGGAGGAGGAGGAGCAAGGGGAGTAACACACAACCGCCACCCCCACACTCCTCACCCCCAAACCCTAATTCAGGAGAACGGGCAGCAGTAGGGGTGGGGCACCGTCAGAAGCACGGGGGACAGCGAGCAGCTCAGGGACAGAGAGGAACGGGCCGCCCACGGGCCTGGCACAGCCCGACGAACCGCGCGCAGGCGGCCCGAGCCGCGCGCGGGCCTGGCGCAGCCCGTACGGGCCGCGCGCGGGCCTGGCGCAGCCCGTACGGGCCGCGCGCGGGCCTGGCGCAGCCCGTACGGGCCGCGCGCGGGCCGGGCGCAGCCCGTACGGGCCGCGCTCGGGGCTGGCGCAGCCCGCGCTGGCCAGGACGGGCGACGGGGGACGACGGGCTGGTCCCCGTCGCCCGTCGAAGCGCCCCCCGGGGGCGACGCGCGGACCGACGGGGCAGAAGGCCGCCGCGCGCCTCGGGGCGCACGGCGGGCAGAGAACCGCCGCACGCCCCGGGGCGCACGGCGGGCAGAAAACCGCCGTGCGCCTCGGGGCGCACGGCGGGCAGAAAACCGCCGCACGCTCCGAGCGCGCGGCGGGATGAAAAATCCGTCGCACGCCACGGGGCGTGCGACACAGAGAGTGGCAGTAGCAGCGGAAGCAGTGAGGTGGTGAGCCCACCCACAGGATCGACCCAAGGGGATCGACCTGCTCTGATAGCATGTGAAAATAGTAGGTAGAGTTAGGAGCCATAGCTAGGTAAGTCCTAGCTAGGCAAGAGAAGTTTAGGCAAAAGAGGAGAGGTTCACTAGCAGCAATGAGGATACATATAGCAAACCCTAGATGGGTTGTACTCGCTATAGAGCACCCCACTACAGGCTAGAGAATAACATTCTGACACCGGCAGCAACAACCGAAGCCAGTACCTCCGTTTTGCCACATCTGCAAAACTTCAGGACACCCGCGTACGCACTGCCCGAATCGTCAACAGTCAACAACTCCACAGCGGCAACTTCGACCTTCAAGCAGCCAAATCGCCTCAACGCAAGCAAATCCCACGACCCAGGTTCAAGCTTCAACAACTTCAACGGGACAACCTGCACAAGGAGCAAGAAACATCGTCAGCTGCATGGCAAAGCTGAGTGACTCCTGCATCACCGAGTCACCACCACACTACTCACCGGAAGAACAACTCGACGAAACCACACCCCGCCGCGAGTCACTTCAGCCGAACCCGACATACGCTGCCATCGCCCAAAGCGAACCATCCGGAAAGGACACATGGTTCTTGGACAGTTGCTGCGGACAGCACATGTGCTCCTCGGGACGCTTCGTTCAACGAGAACACCAACTTCAACGCGAAGTCGTCATTACAGTCGCCAACAATAAGAACCTGCGAACACGACGACAAGGCGTAGTTCAACTTCAGTCAAGGGAAACAAACGTTATACTGCAGATGTCAAAGGTACTAATCGCGGAGGGACTCGGCTACAACTTACTGAGCGTCAGTCAGTTGATGGCGAAGGGCATTCACCTCGAGGCAGACAGCACCACCCAGGAATTCAAGCTGTACCACGGGAAGGGCGGCCTCTACATCGGCAAGGCGATCCTAAAAAACAACGTCTTCGTTCTCGATTTTGTCCCAGATCTTGGCACAGCTGACAGCGACGCCATCGTTAACTTCACCAACTGGACACACCCTCCAGACCTTGACCCAGACTTCAGTCCTGGCGGTTTCTGGTACTCACACACCATCCCTGAAGCAGAAAGAACAAGGGCGTTAGCAACAATTCAGACAACATCGGCAGC